TTTACAACACATGAAAAAGACTCTTTAAGTTTTCATTTCATAAAGTTTCTTAAAATGCGATTATTAAAGAGAAGTTAAACTGGGACAAGATATGAATCGTTGGAATTGGGAATGTGTGAAAAGATTTTCTTGTATCATTGCTGCGATGTTCGAGGGGATAAAGTCCATGTTTCAGATAACAGAGTGTTTTCTACTTGCAGTAAAGATCCTATCAGTTTTTAATGGAAGTGCCACAGTACGATCATGCATAACTTACTGTTTCCTTATCATTTATCGTAGGGATGTGATGATTTGACCAACCAATGATGATTAAGTCACAATATAATTGTTATAACAAAAAAAAAAATATAATCATAAGAATGTCAGTAAATAATTGTTAAATTGTGATAATTTTTCTCACACAAATTGTAACAGTAGAATCTGATATTGTGATGTTTCTTTTTGATTGAGATTAGATACAACTCTGGTTTCTACTTCAAATAAAAACATAGTGGGTGCAAAGGATTCCTGACTCAAGATGAGATGGGTGCATGGATGCTCTTGCTCTTATTACAAAAGTAAGTATATTGAATTTAGGAGTATTTTCAAAAGGAAAGAAATTGGCACACGGTTACAGGGAGTTATTGGATGACACTATCTTTTCTACCCTCCATTCTCTCAACACACAGGCAAAACTCAAAAAACCTCAAAAGAACATACAAAACATTTCTCTCTCACGAAATGATTATATCCAGTCTTTATTCTAAAGACCATGACAGCCCTGATGATACAAACTCTGAAAGCACAGGCTACATAATTCTATTCATGGTTTGTTCCAAACGTAATAGGCTGTTGTATTTAGGTTTTGGGGCAGGTTAGGTGGGCTGGACACAAGTAATAAAATGAGAATAAAGCCAGCCTGTGACAGCACACCCCATGAGCCTTTCCCGCCATCCGCCTCATTAACTCGAGTTAGCAGCACTGAGGCCCAAACTGTTTACCTGTGTACTCCTGCGTGTTTAGGAACCTTCAAGTGAAGTGAGGTAGAAGAGAAGACGAAGAGGCAGACGTCTAACAGAGACAGACAGAGTGCACTTGAGCATGAAGGTGAGGCTTTTCTATTGGGCGTCTGTGAAAATCCCAGCGTCACAGCTCAAACGTCAGAGGGGTGGGAAGGCATCACTGTTAGAACACTGCACCCCGACGCAAAATGACACAAAACATCAGCAGCACAAACAGAACTGTGGTGGGAGATCTTTTCTAAGAATCTATAATAATAAAATGTCTCTTATATGGGATACATTGAATGAAAGATCCTCTTATATCCATGGACAATTTGATTGGACAAGAGAGAAACATTTATTAAAGCAACACTGCCTAAAATAAAAACGCCTGTGAAGTTCTCAAGCCAAGGCCCTCCTGCTCCTAAGCATTAAGCAGAAAGGGCGTTCTCACTGGGCTAAAACCTCTCTGCATGGCCACATGGTCCAGTGGAAATGTTCCTTTGTGTTTTTTCCCAATTTAGTGTTTGCATTAGTTTCAAGCGTAAAAGGGACGTAACAGGGAGTCTTCATGAGCTCAGAGAAAGCATTGCAGACCAGGTTCTGGTGTTAGTGGAGAGCTCCTAAAACAGGAAGTGATTGATGGGTTTAATTAGATTTTTGCCCCACCCTGGGAGCTGTCAGCGCTCCGAGGGCTCTCTTTTGGACTACAGAGTGCTGGAACATGACCAATAAACTGCTGTCTAGATTCAGTGACTCAGATGGGAGTCTCCCCCTGTATACCATTTATTTGTTGGCTGTTGATTGCTCTGCATATGTAATTGCCATCTTCAAATAATTAGACAGTTGAATAGTGTGTTGCTTAGCAACAGAAGCCAAAGATGGACATAAAGTTCTTCCCTAAAACCCTGTAAAGGTCAGAGCAGTTTTTTGTATTAGGGAGCTGCAGGCAACAGATCCACAGACAGTAAACAAACTACAGAGATGTGAGAGCTCAGAGCAGGCCCACAACATGGACCTTGGTACAGCTGTATGAGTTACTGCTCTGATGTGTCCTGTGCCTTGTCCTCTTCACACCCTCTTTCTCTCTGCACCCTCTTCCGTCTCTGGACCCTCTTCATCTCTGCTACCTCTTCACATTCTCATCCTCTCAGCACACTCTTCCTCACTGTGTTCTCTTCGTCTCTGCACTGCCCGGTCCTCTCTGCAGACTCTTCCTCTCTGCTGCCTCATCCTCTCTGTGCTCACTGGTCCTCTCTGTACCCTCTTCTTCTCTGTGCCCTCTTCTTCTCTGCGGCCTCTGTCAGTGCAGGTTAGAGCAGAGCAGCCGCTCCACTAATGTGCTGTGACCCAGAACACTTGTGTGTAATATACCCACACTTCACATTATGCAGCGCAGCAGGGAATAGACTGTGGTGTTGTCTGGATCTGTGTAGAGCATTTTAATAACCTTTCCTCTTAATAATGTTGAGGGGTTTTATGTGACCTGCTGTCACCACCAATATGAGTCTGTGAGCTGTAATTAGTTCAACATGAAGAACCCAAAGTGAGTCACACAAGGCCTCTGTCACCCTTTTACCTTCTGTGCCTTTTCATCCACAGAGACAGAAAGGTGAGATGAAGAGTGAGAGTAGGGATGGAAAAACTTTACAGAACATTGGTTTATGTATTATTCTGTACCTATATTCCTCTAATATTCATTATCTAGAGACACATAACAGTTGATTATTTTTGAAAATGCTGTTTCTTTTCTGGAGTTTTTCTTCTCCCAGAAACTCTCCCACAGCAGTTTTCCAGTTTTGATAGCAAACTTTCTTTAGTGCCTTTGACTTTTTGGCCCTTTACTGGTTTAACAGAACCCAGTGGAGACAAAACTTTAAGTGGATCTGTGCTCAACAGTGTCCCAGAGTGTTCTTCATTGCATAATGAAGTTATCATCACCACTTCCACCCACATTATTTCCTGTGGGGTTTTTACCAAGTCACACTAAAATAAATAAATAATTAAGGATTATGCAGCCCACTGTGAGTTACAGAGGGATGTAACATGTTAGGCTCTTTATGTTTGATGTGAATACTCCACTTCTGCATTTAAAGCTAAGTGTCAAGGCTCCAAGATTAAACACAATCAATTTGAAATTCTATTTGAAACGATACATTTTGCATTATCGCAAAGGCTACAATTTTTGAAGTACCATCATTTCCCCCACAAACAACAAAAGCTTCTCTAACTATATATACAAAAATGTATCTTGTAGTTTTGATCTGTTCAAACAAGTTCTGAAAAGTGATTCTTGTGTTAGTTTGCAAGTTCATATTTCTGCTTGTCAATTCTTCAGGAAGCGTGAACTGTGAACTTCATCAAATCATTAAAACATTATTTGCAAATCGAATCACAGTGTTGAAAAATGGCAATTTGTCTCAAATTCAGTAGTTCAGGTTTTACCCCAAATATTCCCATTCCAGTCCCTACATGCAACCAGTTGTGAGTTTGTTGAAATAGAAAAAGTATAGAAAACAAGAACATTAGCATTTAGCTTCAAAACACCTACCATAATAAGCAAAAACTAAGCTTTGGTCATTTGTGCTCTCCAGTGTAACCTTTAAATTTAATTCATTTGAAAGAATCTGCAAATTCCACATGGACACACGACCCACTGGAGAGAGGACCTTGTGCGGAACGAGTCACATATTAATGTGAAATAGACCAAAAGTCAGCATAAAGGAACTCATTCAAACCATGATAGTGAATACTCCTAAGACTCAAATAAAATATTCTTTTGGGGAGTCTCTTTTGAATTATTATCATCCTTTTAAGCCCAAACCCAATTTCCTTCACACTGACTATCTTGTGAATGAGTTTGAAACAGTACATTTGTTGGTTGTCTGCATCATGCTTCTATAATCTGCACAGATTACAGTTGTGTTTTGTGCTTGTAGGCTGGTTTTGCCCTGTTTTGGAGCTCCATTGGGGATGTAAGCTGTTCAGGATGCCTGTGCTCAGAGTCAATGCCAGGTGTTGTGTATTTCACGCTCACTGCTTCTGTCTCACTGGAGGCCTGGCAGCTCCCTTTCCTCTCACAGATAGCAGCACATGTTCATGCCCTCCTCCAAAGTGTGGCGCTTTTGTGTTGAGCCGTGCCTCTTTCTCACCTCTCATCTGGAGTTTTTCATTCTCAGACGGCATCTGCTGGCTGTCATTATCGCTCTGCCTCAGCTCCAACTTTAGCTCATTGTGAGGCTGCCATTGTTTGGCTGCTCCTCTGTCTCTGCCTCTAATGACCCGCCTCTCCCTCCTCTTATCTCTGGAGGCAGTCTCATTTATGACTTTCCTCCACAGACAATATTGTCATGGGGGATACTTTCATTCAAGTCTGCGACAAAATCTTTATTGTACTTTAAGGTAAATGGGTCGCTCCCTGCTTAAAAATAAAACAATTGTGTAAATAATTAGAGAATACTTTTAAATTAAATTAAGATAGCAGTAATGTGGGCCTTGACTGAGCAACAGTCATTGATTGATCCAACAGTAATTGTTGATAGGATGGCTACACGATTTTAAGTAACCACGTGAAATTACAAAAATACTAATCGTAGCATCATAAATAGCAACACTACTGATGCTCTTAAAACAGTTACATCAAGCATGAACAGAATTCATTCATTCATTCATTGATCAAACCAGCAAAATTGCCTTTACAAAATAAACTAATGTCATGTCACAGATAATAGAGATAAACTTTTACACAGTTTAGGTCAAAGATAATTCTATCAAAGAGCACCTTTATTGAAACATCAATGGAAAGTAAGTTCAAAACATTTCTTTAAACATTTCTGCACTTGCTCTCAGAAAGCGCTCAGGCTGCAACACTGCTCTCCACACATTCACCATTCCAAAGTCATCTCTGCATGCATGAGATCCCTAATATCCCAGTCCCAAAAAAATGCTGAAAACTCATAAAGTACGCGGTACAGAACGCTGACAACACTGGAAAAGAAACATTTGCTGAGCGCGTCTTACCGTGAGCGTTGGGATGGCCGTGACCAGGGAGTAGATGAGCACGGGTGGGATCTTGCTGGTGTTGTCCGGGCCGGGGTACGGTTTGGAGAAGCTCTTATCGTAGCAGAAAAAGCCCTGGATATGCACTGGGAAGGTGTCGGTGTACTCAAAGTAGTAAGCCAGCAGAACCGTCCCAGCCATGATCACCAACTGAAAATAAAACATTATCCTCGGGTTAGGACACCAGAATTAGACCAGGAGATTTGAAGAAAGAGTGGGAGCCGAGAAGACCCCCTCAGTAGCAATGGGAGGGATACATGACAAAAATAGAAGTAGTCCCGCTTCACTAGAGAACAAAATAAAATGTATGAAGACTGAAATTACAGAGCGATGAAGAGGACAGCGTTAAGAGAGGAGAGAGGAAGGGAGGGGAGGAGAGAGAGAGGGGTGCAGGCGCCATCCCCGCTGCCACTCTGCATCTACTACACAGGGCTGAGCGAGCGAGGAGCAGAAGACACGCCCCTTTGGAGGGATCTCATGGAAGCCCACTTCAAATTAAATATGAATGGTGGTCAATGGGGACAGAACTAATTTTGGATGCCATTTGAACCGCAGAGAAAAGACGATTCTTTCTGTCATTACACATTAATACCAGAAGTTGTCATGCTTTCATTTATGTATGTCACACCATGTACCATATATTGTATGTTAGGGCTCTGTGTATCAAAATTTGGATTGGAAAAAAATGCACGTGTGTTTTATACTGTTGCATAAAATGTGCACGTGTGAAGAGAATTCTATTTTTTAACATTTACTGCTGCAATACTTAATGTATGTCACATGTACAATAAATATACAGAGCTCGGAATCAGTACACAACGAAGCAGTGTAATTATGTTGTCAGTGGGGCTCTGAGTCTTGATTGAATGGAGTAAATGAATGAAAACCATGTTGTTCACGGAAGGATAGCGACACTGACAAACCGCAAATTCAAGCTGCCTTTTTCAACAAGAGAATTCTAGATTTTGGTAAACACATAATTACAACTTTTACGTTTTTTTTTTTCCCTCCTTGAGTTGCCACGATGTTGGTGGTGATGAACATGTGTGGGAGAGGAGTGGGCCAATACAATGCTGTGCTATTACAAAACATGTTTATAAGAACCCACACTCCTGTATTCCTCTATAATCTATTCACTCTCTGCTCACATGTAAAATAGACACAATAAGACTAAAATGTATTTTTACAAACATTTTTAATCCAATCTATTTACTTTTTTGGAGGCTGTTCCCCTGAGGGATGTGCGTTTTATCTGTGGTTGTCGTGGAAAAGGCCAAAGGATTTAGGTTGGATTAGATCACATGAATATAGGATTGGCACAAAGAGGATACAGAGCTATCATTTAAGAAACAACTGTGGTGTTTCTACAACTAGAGTTTTATGTGTAGAAAAATCAAAAAGTGTAATCCCATGGGCAAGGAGAGCAGAGTATTGAGGTTCAGACAGCACAGAGATGACACTGCTTCAAGCTCTAACAAGTCAAAGTCAAAGTTCATGGCTTTTGAAGTATGGCCGGCAAAACCTTGTCTTTTCCAAAACAATATTAAAGGGCTTGACATTATTACTAACAGGCACAAGAGTTTCTGAGACATATAAAAAACACTGTGTTGTTTCAATGTTTCAAAAATAAAAATAAACATGAAAATCTGCTGCATGTAACAGTGACATCCCCCTCAAGTGACCAAAAAAAGTACCAGAAAAAATCGTAATGTGTTCAAATACAATTAACATTTAGTAACTGGTATATTAACACATTTTTTTTATAAAGGTTAGTGCTTCACCACCTTCATGTAGGTAGACACTGGGGGCTAGGTGGGTTAAGTTTCCTCAAGGATACAACTTGGGAGCTGGAATTGCACTGCCAACCTGTGGATCTAAACACTCAAGAAATGATGTTTCATGTAGAAAGCAAGATTTGAACTGCCAACTTTTGGATCAGCAGAGAAATCTTGTCCCACCATCTAAGAATTTCTTAACAGTCCATTGCCATGAATTCCAGAGAAACGAAGTACGTTAAATTGTTTCTGACAGTCAAAGTGGCTGCAAATTTTGTAATTCTTTAGCTAAACAAGTTGTTAGATTTTTAGTCATAAGTTATTTAAGTATAAAAGCTCAGGGGTTTCAAATATTTATGTTTATGTTGTTGTAATTATATATTAAAACATGTAAATTACAGAGCAGTTGACTGTATATAAATCAAGCGAAGGGTAATTGATGGAAGATTTTGGACAGTCATGTCTTAAAGCAGGTCGCTAGTGTCAGCAGGCTTCACTTTTTTCTTGCCTTTAGCCTTTTAACACTTCACGTCCGCTTCTGCACTGAGCTGAATATTTCATAGCTCTAAACTTTCCAAGCGAGAGCTGAACACACCACAGGGCCTGTGTTGAGCCAGGCTTTACAAATGTAGTGACAACCTTGAGACAACGGCCTGGGTTGGTGCAGAGACGGAGATTGTGTTGAGAACACTTTGGGAAATGTTCTTGAGGAACAAAAACAGCCCATGGCACGCACAGGAACCTACAGCAGTCAGCACATGTACAATACCAACTTAAAATACATCCACTGCCCAGTTAGCACTGACCAACAATATCAAGCACTTTCAACTGGAAAGAGAGCAAAAAATCATTCTCATGTAACAGTAAACCTTTTTAAACAGTCATAATCCCAACGTGTGTGATGCAAAATCAATATTGAATAGAAGACTACTTGTACTTCCTCTCAAAAAAGTGGTCAGACAGATCCATTTGGCAGGGGCTGCTGATGCGGTGGCTAATCTGTTTGGCGTTATTGCAGAGAATGATCGAGTCAGACCAAAAACACATCATGTAATTTACCTAAGCATAATGTGGCTCTATTCAGTGCATTCAGTGTGCTGGGCTCAAGAGCTTTTGCTCAATCTACAGGAGAAACTGTTGGTTAGGGTGGATGATATCACAAGGAGGGGATACAAGACTGTAGAATTCAATTTAAATTTTGTACTTGGCAGTCAAGCATGTTTTATATTCTCATCCCAAGGGCACGTCGTCATACATTTTGGCAGTTATCTCAAAGTGACTGTCCTTCTTCTAAACCCTGCACATCTTATTTTCTCCTGCAGGAATAATGAATGCTACAGTAGATACGTGACCCTCAATTCCAGGTCAGGCACATACATGTACTGCTGTTTCCTCAGGAGTCTCAACCAGGCCTCCTGAGCCTGTTAAATCCGTGTTTTGTGAAAGAGCAGTTTGCTGTTGTAAAGACTGTATTTCAGGCAGAAGACGGAGGGAAAAGCACCGAGTTCCACCTACAAACCCAGGAGTCCATTAAGAGCGCCGCCGTAACTCACGCTACACTGCTCCGGTCAGCACGGGCCGTACAGGGCAGAGGAAAGCTGTGAGGACTGAACAGTGGAGGGGTAAAGAAGAGTGGTTTCAAAACTCACAAGGAGTTAACAAAGAATATACTCATCTTATTGACAAAAAATAACATAATTGTACTGTAAACATAAAATACACTTCAAAATTAAATTAGGATGAGAGGGTGAGCTGGAGGTTTAATCTTTATATGAACTGCGGTCAAAATTAGTGCCATAACAGAGTTTAGAGACAAACTGACTATAAGCTGCGGGGAAATTTAAACTTCAACTTCAACATTCCTGTGCTGTGTGTACTTTTTGAATATGTTTTTATCTGGGTCTGATATTTGATATTATTACAAGGCCTTCCAAACAGTAAAGCTCCATCATCAGAACTTGTCTGATTTAGCAGGAGGTGGATGTGGCGGGTGGTCAGGGCTAATTACAGCCTCACAGCAGGACTGGAGGGGCTCGCTCGTCTGCACTGATCTCTAATCTGTCATCTCAAAGACAAGAGGCCCCCTGCTGGTACACAAGGGAACCAGCTAAAAGTGAAGCATGTTTGCTACATCTACAAAAGTAACTGGGCTAAACTCTAGGTTAAACTCACATTACAGCAAATCATTACTATCTCTGGGTCTGATCCAAATATGAGGTCTGAAACACAGCCAATAGTGTGCAGACAATAAAACAGGTGAACACAGCATTCAAGAGTTAGTATTGAGCCAAATACATGGGGCTCATGGGGTTTTGAGCACAAAAAGCAAAGCTATTTTTATCAAAGACAGGAGAGAGGAGAGGAAAGTCTTGCCACTCTTGCTCTGTACTCAGTGCATACAGTATTTATCCTCAAGACGCTTCTTCACCTGTATTTTCTGTTACATTATAGAGTGACACGTAAACAATATTTGAATCCCTATCTAGGCATATAATATTATTACAATTATATTTGTGTGTTGCTTTAAAGCAACTAAGGCCCACAGGCTGACTCTGGCCCTCCACGCCTCTTTGACCGGCTCCCCAGCCCCTCTGGCCCTATGAGGCAATCCTCAAAAGTTGTTATGGCCAATTTTTTAAAATTACTTTTTGGCAAATAATAACATGTCTACATTTTGTATTTTGTTGATTTTTTCAATTAAAATATATATATTTATATGTATTTATATTTAAGTAATTATATGATTATATTTACATTTGCCGCCAACATTTCGTCACCTGACAAGCTCGAGATCAAACAGTGACAGTCAATGCACGCGCAGAGTTCTGTAGTGCAGTTAAGGACAGCAAAATGGTGAGTGTTAAAGTATAAAAACTTGACAGAGTGTGCTGAGTTTTCAAAGAACAGTGGACGACCAATTATTTTTTGTTCAGTGTAAGGATCATGCAGTTTGTCTGATATGTAAAGAAAGTGTGGTGATTTTCAAAGAATATAATCTGCTTCGTCACGGTCATGCAATTCTGGCCCGGCCCCACATTACAGTCAGAAGCGATAATGTGGCCCCCAGAGAAAAAAGTTTGGTGACCCCTGCTGTAAAGGGCCTATATTTGAGTTGTGTTTGTTTCTTTCACAAATGTTCAACACAAATCCTGCACATTTAGGCTGTGTTCTTCTCTCCAACTGAAAACACTCAGTTCCTTGATGTTTTTAAACCAAACTTACCCCAAACTTATACCTATTGTTTTAGCCTCTCTGAAACCTCTTCACTCCTCAGTACATCAGAGGATATTGTAGAATAAACCAGTTCACTTGTGGCTAAAAACAGCTGTTAACTACCACTTACTTGCATCACAAGGTGGAACAGAGCATTTTGAA